GCCAAAAGTTCGGGTCCCTTTATTTGTTCAATTACACATTGCAGATACACTATTTAAATTACTCCCAGCAACAAGTGTATAATGAAAGTGAAACAGCTTAGACATTAATGGCTGTGTGAGTAGAGTTGAGCGGACACCTGGATGTTCGGGTCCGGCGGGTTCGGCCAAACTTTGAAAAAAAGTCCAGGTTGGGGCTCGAACTTGACCCCTTACTTGACCCCGAACCCGAACCCCATTGAAGTTATTTATTTATTTTTAAATTTTATTTTTTTATTGGGGTAGCCTCCAAAATATTGGGACATATAAAAAAAAGAAACATTTGCGTGCTGCAGTGCATTTCTTACAGTGCTGATGCATGGATAAATGCTCAACTCCTGATGCATGGAGAAAAGGCCTTCACAAGCCTCTGCTATTGTGTCCATAGTTTATACTAAGTGACCCATAAATTGAGGAGGCGGTGACGGTGGAAGCGCCGGTGGAGGAGGAGGAGGTAGCCAACACTGTTTATATACACTGCTCAAAAAAATAAAGGGAACACAAAAATAACACATCCTAGATCTGAATTAATAAAATATTCTTCTGAAATACTTTGTTCTTTACATAGTTGAATGTGCTGACAACAAAATCACACAAAAATTAAAAAATGGAAATCAATTTTTTCAACCCATAGAGGTCTGGATTTGGAGTCACACTCAAAACTAAAGTGGAAACACGCACTACAGTCTGATCCAACTTTGATGTAATGTCCTTAAAACAAGTCAAAATGAGGCTCAATAGTGTGTGTGGCCTCCACGTGCCTGTATGACCTCCCTACAACACCTGGGCATGCTCCTGATAAGGTGGCGGATGGTCTCCTGAGGGATCTCCTCCCAGACCTGGACTAAAGCATCTGCCAACTTCTGGATAGTCTGTGGTGCAATGTGACGTTGGTGGATGGAGCGAGACATGATGTCCCTGATGTGCTCAATTGGATTCAGGTCTGGGGAACGGGCGGGCATTAATGCCTTCATCTTGCAGGAACTGCTGGCACACTCCAGCCACATGAGGTCTAGCATTGTCTTGCATTAGGAGGAACCCAGGGCCAACCGCACCAGCAGATGGTCTCACAAGGGGTCTGAGGATCTCATCTCGGTACCTAATGGCAGTCAGGCTACCTCTGGTGAGCACATGGAGGGCTGTGCGGCCCCCCAAAGAAATGCCACCCCACACCATTACTGACCCACTGCCAAACCGGTCATGCTGGAGGATGTTGCAGGCAGCAGAACGTTCTCCACAGCGTCTCCAGACTCTGTCACGTCTGTCACATGTGCTCAGTATGAACCTGCTTTCATCTGTGAAGAGCACAGGGCGCCAGTGGCGAATTTGCCAATCTTGGTGTTCTCTGGCAAATGCCAAACATCCTGCATGGTGTTGGGCTGTAAGCACAACCCCCACCTGTGGACGTCGGGCCCTCATGGAGTCTGTTTCTGACTGTTTGAGCAGACACATGCACATTTGTGGCCTGCTGGAGGTCATTTGCAGGGCTCTGGCAGTGCTCCTCCTGTTCCTCCTTGCACAAAGGCGGAGGTAGTGGTCCTGCTGCTGGGTTGTTACCCTCCTACAGCCTCCTCCATGTCTACTGATGTACTGGCCTGTCTCCTGGTAGCGCCTCCATGCTCTGGAGACTACGCTGACAGGCACAGCAAACTTTCTTGCCACAGCTCGCATTAATGTGCCATCCTGGATGAGCTGCACTACCTGAGCCACTTGTGTGGGTTTTAGACTCCGTCTCATGCTACCACTAGAGTGAAAGCATCGCCAGCATTCAAAAGTGACCAAAACATCAGCCAGGAAGCATAGGAACTGAGAAGTGGTCTGTGGTTACCACCTGCAGAACCACTCTTTATTGGGGATGTCTTGCTAAATGGCTATAATTTCCACCTGTTGTCTGTCCCATTTGCAACACAGCATGTGAAATTGATTGTCACTCAGTGTTGCTTCCTAAGTGGACAGTTTGATTTCACAGAAGTGTGATTGACGTGGAGTTACATTGTGTTGTTTAAGTGTTCCCTTAATTTTTTTGAGCAGTGTATATATATATATATATATATATATATTTTTTTTTTATTATTTTAATTGGGGTAGCCCCCTAAATATTGTGACAAACAAAAAAAGAAACATTTGCGACCTGCAGTGCATTTCTTGCAGTCCTGATGCATGGAGAAATGCTCAACTCCTGATGCATGGAGAAAAGGCCTTCATAAGCCTCTGCTATTGTGTACATAGTTTATACTAAGTGACCCATAGGTTGAGGAGGCGGTGACCGTGGCAGTGTAGGTGAAAGCAGCGGTGGAGGAGGAGGAGGTAGCCAACACTGTTTTTTATATATATATATATATATATAAAATATATATATATATATATATTTTTTTTTTTTTTTTTAATTGGGGTAGCCCCCAAAATATTGGGACATACAAAAAAGGAAACATTTGCGGCCTTCGGTGCATTTCTTGCAGTCCTGATGCATGGAGAAATGCTCAACTCTTGATACATGGAGAAAAGGCCTTAACAAGCCTCTGTTATTGTGTACATAGTTTATACTAAGTGACCCATAGGTTGAGGAGGCGGTGACCGTGGCAGTATAGGTGGAAGCAGCGGTGGAGGAGGAGGAGGTAGCCAACACTGTTTTTTTTATATATATGGCCCGCACTTTCTGCAGCAACACTGATATATCTGGGTATACAGCGTGGCATCACAAGGGCCACCCAGAACTGGCTCAACTCCCATCATCACCCAGCTCGTTATGCTAGAGCACTTTTTCAATGTGCTCCCCAACAAGAAGGCGACGACGCATTCATACGTCAATCCATATCAACTTTCGATGCCATTGACTGTGCCTACCATGGTAACCACGGGTAACAGGGAATCAGGGTTCCATTCCTGAGAGGGAGCGTGAGAAACGGCTACCACATGCAAGGAAGGCAGCAAGCGCGCAAATGACCCACTCCCAACGCGGGAAGGTAGTGATGACAAATAACAATACAGGACTCTTTAGAGGCCCTGTAATTGTAATGAGTCCACTTGAAATCCTTTAACTCTGATCAATTGGAGGGAAGTCTGGTGCAGAGCCACTGACCCGTGTGTGCTGCAGCTGAAACTCCACTATCGCCTGCTGCTGCTCGCACAGTCTCTCCATCATGTGCAAGGTGGAGTTTCACTTTGTGGGCACATCGCATATGAGGTGGTGAGCGGGAAGGCCAAAGTTACGCTGCAGCACAGACAGGCGAGCAGCAGTAGGGTGAGAACACCGAAAGCGCGCACAGCCGCATCCTGTGACTATTTTTACTGAAGCTGCATCAGGGTCCTGGTATGTGGCCGCACAAACACTGGTGCTCAACACCAGGGGGGTGCAGTTACCCTGCACCAGACCCTGCTAATCCATTCCACATTGTGACTCCTAACTTCAACATCATGCATACTGGGTCCCGGTCGTCCGACCGCTGCCCAGACAGTGTCTGGATCCCGGTCACTGGACTGCCCATCTGACTGTAAAACTAGGAATGGATCGTTAAATCTGGTACGAACCCGAACTTTGCAGTTCGGGTTCGCTCAACTCTATTATGGATCCTTTGATCGCTACATGTATTACTTGGATAACTGGTAATTCTCGAGCTAATACATGCCGACGAGCGCTAGGGGACGGCCGCTCCGCTTTTGCACCCTGCTCCCTCCTATGCTGTGCTGGTGCCTCTGTGCGACCAACGCCTCTTCCTCCAAACTGGACACGTCACTCGCATGACCTTGATTCCATGTGGGGTCTAGGACCTCATCATCTTCCACTCACTCCTCAACCCTACCCTCCTTGCCGGTATGCACACTGCAGAAAGCCACAGCAGTTGGCACCTGTGTTTTTCCAGAATGTAAAGTCTGCAAAGGACATGTGGAAATTGTTTTAAAATTGTATCCAGGCAACAGTTTTCCCTATAAACTGACCTCTCAGTTTGACTTGTGAGGGTACTGCCCCAGAATTACAATATTGTTTAAGTGCCTCTTAGCTATTGATAACTGGTTTAAATATAGCAGCTTGTTACCTGGTAGTTTCTCGTGTAGAAAATATCAATCTGTTTTCTAGCACTTAGATCTGTGTAACGAGTGTTGTAGGTGTGAAACAATATTACAAGTGACCGATGTAGTAAATTGGAATCAAAGTTACGCTTGTATTTGACTCTCAGATATGAAGTGCACGCCCCAAAATGTACTATTTAGCAGATTAGCAGCACAACAATTATAATGTTTACAATTACACTGTAAGCGCACTATTAGACGCTTCGATTTGACTCTCGGATATGAAGTGCACGCCCAAAAATTTACTATTTAGCAGTTTAGCACCCAGAAAATAAGAATGTTTACAATGGTGCTGTAAGCACACTATTAGACGCTTCGATTTGACGCTCACATATGAAGAGCAGGCCCCAAAATGTACTATTTAGCAGTTTAGCAGCCAGAAAATAAGGATTTTTACAATTGCGCTGTAAGCGCACTATTAGACGCGCCGATTTGACTCTCAGATATGAAGAGCAGGTTCCAAAATGTACTATTTAGCAGATTAGCAGCAAAACAATTAGAATGTTTACAATTGCGCTGTAAGCGCACTATTAGACGCTTTGATTTGACTCTCAGATATGAAGAGCAGGCCCCAAAATTTACTATTTAGCAGATTAGCTGCAAAACAATGAGAATGTTTACAATTGCGCTGTAAGCGCACTGTTAGATGCTTCAATTTGACTCTAAGATATAAAGATCATGCCCCAAATGTAATATTTAGCAGAATAAGCCCCCCAAAAATATGAATGTTTCAAAGTGTGCTGTAAGCGCAGTATTTGACGCTTCTACTTGATTCTCAGATATGAAGAGCACGCCCCAAAATGTACTATTTAGCAGTTTAGCACCAAAACAATTAGAATTTTTACAATTACGCTGTAACCGCAGTATTTGATGCTTCTATTTGACTCTCAGATATGAAGAGTACACCCCAAATGTAATATTTAGCAGATTAGCCCCCCCAAAAATCTGAATGTTTCAAACTCGGATGTTACCGCAGTATTTGACACTTCTATTTGACTCTCAGATATGAAGTGCACTCCACGAATGTACTAGATTGCAGAATTCTTTCCTAAGGAAGAGAATACAGAAATTAATCCATAATGCAGAACAGAAACAATTGGAAATTCTCCTCTCTGCCACTGGAGGGTATCAACCCATCTTTAAAACTGGGACTTAGGAATTACCACATGGGAATCGAGGTGAAAAAATTAATGAAAGTCCCGTGGGGAGTGACTAGCACCCCTGAGAATACCATGTGAAAGTTTCTTTGTCCTGGGAAGATTTTATCAATGATATGAGCAAATGTATTGCTCAAAGAGGGGGATGTAAGTGTAAGGACATGAAATGGTTAACTCTTTTTGCTTTATATGCTTTAAAATAATGTTTGAAGTAATTATGCTGACTTTGGCAAATGTATTTTGTACCAAGGTATTTTGTACCAAGGATGTATGACCTTGCTTAACCTCAGGATGTTCCTGTCTCGTCTTTATTCAAATACTTATCTTTTTAATGTCAGACAAGTATGTACTATTAACTATAAGGAAACGATAAATCTCATTGCTTGCATGATAAACTGTGTATAAATGCTAGCCCTGAAAATATACTCACTGAGAACTTGTTAAGCACTCTTTCGTGTCTGTGTCTTAATTTGCTAACAAGAACTCCCATCAATTGATGTGGTGACCGGAGGATCGAGAATCGAGGGGAGTTGAGTCCAGAACAGCATTTACCCTTTCAGCTTTGTGTCTAGAAGTGGGATCAGCAAAACCATTGCGGTAAGTAGCCTTTTTGTGTCTTATTGATGCTGATTGTCTAGGACCCCCTTTGGTTTAGTAAGTCTGTATCCAGTAGAAAGGAAAGGTGTAAGGACTTTAGTTATATTGAGACTGTAAATAGGTCTCCGGTTTTTACTGGACAGTTGGTCTAGTATAGGGTTCTTGGTAACCCAGGTTAGTATCTAAGATAGATACAGGGTATCTCAGGTAGATACAGGTTTTGAGCCGATAAAGGAGTCTCCAGTTTATTAAGACTATAGGTGTTCTAGGGAACACGGTTTATAGATCTAGAATAACCCAAACTCCTTGTTCATTTGGTCACCCTGTGTCTGCTTTGTGTTTATTATATTTGTTAAGTAGAGACACACTATTGGTAAGTAGGTAGTGTCTCTACCCTGAGCCAGAAATATGGGAAATAATCAGTCTATTTCTTAGCCTTTACCCCACCCAGGGGAGTCATGTCTAAATTATGTTACTAGAATAGGAGCACAAGGAGGATTTCTTACAATCCCCTTTGTGTCAAATTTAGCAGGATGGACACAGACTATGAAGTCATCTGATCCTTTTCCCAGGTATGGGGCTAATGATGATTTCCATATGAATATGATTTGAGGATTGTGTTTGGGAGATAGGAAGTCATGTCCGTGGTATGGTCCCGATTCAGATTGGGATAAGGAATATATGAAAGCAGGAGGTGAAAATTGGTTGCAGATAGCCTCTCATTGGTTTCCTTGTAGTGTAACAGGAAAGGTTTTAAAGGGTGCTAAGAAAGACCTGGCTAAGAGAAAGGGAACTGTTGACAGTAATACCATCCGCTTTCCCATAGAAGCCCCTCCTGAGAATCTATATCCACCACCAATTGTGCCCCTTACTCAATCAGCCCCCAGCCATGCCCAACCACAACCCCCACCTCCCTATAAAGCAATGTATCCTGCTGTACCTAATGCCCCCTCAGAGGATGATATATAAGATATTTATATTGCTGCAGCTGTTAATTCACAATCACAGCAATTACAGGAATCATCATCTACACCAGATTCTGATATGGAATACCCACCGCCACCTCCCGGTACATTTAAATTAACAGTACAAACAGGAGTTAAACTTAAAAGTGGCAAGGTGTTAAAATCATATGTACATAAGCAAGGTGATGATGATGTAGAGATGCCAGAATTAGAAGGTACTGATCTTACTGCCCCGTTTATGACTGTTGGTAATCAGTTAATAATGAAACCCATTAATCCCGGAGTACTCAAGGACATTATTCAAGGTGTCCCAAACCCCCGTACTAATCCCTCTGCATGCCTAATGTATCTGAAAAGAATGTGTTTAGGACAGAACATGACACAGATAGACATACAGTTAATTATAAATGGAATATTAGGGTATGACTCAGATTCTGGTTGGGATTGGTCTAGGGTACCCTCTATCAGTGAGACAGACAACAGTACTGGAGTTGGAGAGGCTGGTAGTGATGGTGGTTATGAGCTTAGTACTAAATGTGGGATAAGGTGGAAGCCGAAATGTTGAGATTATGGAAGAATAAGCAGTCTATATCCACTGCTTTGGCATGTAAGCAAGGTGCAAAGGAAGAGATTGGTATTTTTGTAAAGAGATTTTACAAGTGTTGGAAGGATGAGGCAGGTTTGAAGTCTGGAGATGATATGGATCTCCTTAAAATACAGTCATGCCTTGGTAATATGTTGCCACAGTATTCTTTGCTTGTGAAACAGTTGATTTCAGACTGGGCCAATTTGGGTGGCTCAGATTTTCTTACCAAGGTTATAGAGAAGGAAAATGCAGGTTGTTTTGACTTAAGAAAAGATTCAGGAAGTAAGTTTGCTTATTATGCTCAGGGATTGCAACACTGTCCACCTACACAGGCCCAAGAGAGAGGATGGGATGGAGCACATAGAGCCCGTGGAAGGGGTGGTCAAAGAGAGGCAAGGGGATGGAGACAGGGAAATCAGGGTTATAGGGGCAGGGGTAACCAAGGAGGAATAGACAGGAACAGTTGTTTCAACTGTGGCCAGAATGGCCACTGGAGGAATGAGTGTCCACACCCCAGGAAACCCCAGCAGCCCCAACAACCCCACAATTCTCAAAATACACCCGGTAGGCAAGAACAACACCAGGCCCACTCCCAACACCACTGGCCAGCACTTCCCCCTCCCCACTCGCTCCAGCAAACCCAAACTACACTAGGGCCATTCACAGTTACCACTGACCAGCACACCCATCACATCCCATGGCCCCAATAGGGCTGCCTTGAAGGTGACACTCCAACTTTTCCACTTTTATCCTCTACTAATGATGATCAGCCTTTTTGTATTCTGGTCATAGAAGGTAGATCCTTGCCATTTTTGGTAGATACTGGAGCTACGTGTTCCAGTCTCTGTGATACTTATTATCAGGGGACAAGGGAAAAGTCTACACCTTCATTGGGTATTAATGGAGTGTCAACACCCACTTTTGTCACATCACCACTGTCTGTTTTCTGTCCTCTTAATGGTTCTTCTACTGTGCACCCTTTTCGTCTAATACCTAAATGTCCTGTTAATTTGCTGCGAAGGGATCTTCTTGGTATTCTGGGAACTACTATTACTTGCACGCCCTCTGGTGGTATTGATGTGTCTATGTTGTGTTCTGAAACTATTGATTTGTCTGATGTTCCTTCCTCTGTGTGGGCTTCATCTAAGTTAGATGTAGGATTTGTCAACTGCACCCCTTACAAAGCCAAACTAAAACCAGATGTAACTCCTATCTACCTTAAACAGTACCCCCTGTCAGAAGCCAGAGTTGAGGGAGTTCGCCCTATGATCCAATCTTTTCTAGAGCAGGGAATACTAAAGCCAGTAGTTTCCCCATATAAATTAATCCCCATAGTTTCCCCATATTAATCCAGTTCCTAAAGGTAATGGTTATCGCTTAGTTCAGGATTTTAGAATAGTTTAAAAGTGCCCATTGCACCCATTGTCCCTGATGTGACATCCCTCATTACAGCCATTCCACATGATGCCACTTGCTTCACTGTCATTGATTTAAGTAATGCATTTTTTTCTATACCTATTGTTTAAGAGACACAGCTACTTATGGCTTTTACTTTTGAAGGCTGTCAGTATACCTGGACACGTTTACCCCAAGGCTATGTGGATTCCCCAGCCGTTTATTCGCTGGTACTCCAACATACTCTAAAAACATGGACCCCCGGTCATGGTTCCGTCTTTTTGCAATATGTTGATAACTTGTTGTTATGTAGCCCTAGCTATGAGGCAAGCACTGTGGATACTTTCAGTTTGCTCAAACACTTAGCAACTGTGGGTCACAAGGTTGCAAAACACAAAATGCAATTGTGTAAATCAAAGGTTGATTACTTAGGCTTTGTTATGGCTTCAGGCACCAGACAATTGAGTCCAAAACATATTGAGGTCATTCAGAGGATTCTTAAACCCACTACTCGGAAGGAGTTGCTCACCTTCCTCGGCATGATTAATTACTGCCGCCAATGGATCCCTGAATGCTCCCATTATGACTCAATCCTAAGGGAGGCTGTACGTTCTGACAGCCCTGAAAATGTCTGCTGTTCACCAGACATGATAGCTGCGTATATTGCCCTCAAAGTTTCAATTGTGCAAGCCCCAGCTTTAGGACTACCTGTGTATTGTAAACCATTTCATTTGTATGCTCGGGACA